TATTATGTTGAGGTATGATCCTTCTGTTCCCACTTTGCTGAGAGTTTTTATAAATGGCTGCTCGATTTTATCAAATGTTTTTTCTGCATCTTTTGATATGTTCATGTGACTTTTACCTTTCATTTTATGTGATACTAGAGGCCCAATGCACGAATTTCATGCAAGGGGCTGGGCTTCACAGCCGCAGCCCTCACAGCCCCAGCTTGTCCAGAAGGTCATCTGGAAGGACATCCAGAAGGTCGTTCGGCTGTCCAGTCTAATTAGCATATTACGCTTTTATTATTATAGATAACACATTTGCTGATTTGCAAATATTGTACCCTTGCAACCCCAGAGTAAATCCTATTTGAATTTGATCATGGTGTATGATCTCTTTAATGTATTGCTAGATCCAATGTGCTAATATTTTGTTGAGGATCTTAGCATCTATGTTCATCAGAGATATTGGCCTATAATTCTTTATAGTGTCTTTATCTGGTTTTAGAATTAGGAAAATGTTGGCCTTGTAAAAAACGCTTGCAAGTCTTCCCCCCTCTTGAATTTTTTGGAACGGTTTGAAGATAGGTATTAGTTCTCTGAATGTTTGGTAAAATTTGCCTGTGAAGCCATCCCGTCCAGGACTTTTGTTTGCTGGGAGTTTTTTTCATTACTGCTTCAGTTTCATTACTTGTTATTGGTCTCTTCACATTTTCCTGATTCAGTTTTGTGAGATTGTATGTTTCTAGGAATTTGTTCGTTCATCTTTTCAAAGAACCAGCTCTTAGTCTCATTGTCTTTTTAGTCTCTATTTTATAAATCCTTTCTGATTTTTATTTTCTTTCTTCTACTAACTTTTGATTTCATTTGTTTTTATTCTAGTACTTGAGATGTAAAGTTAGTTGTTTGAATATTTTTGTGTCTTGAGGTAGACATTTATCGCTATAAACTTCCCTCTTAGTACTGCTTTTTCTACATCCGTAAATTGTGGTATACTGTATTTCTGTTTGCATTGTTGTTAATCCTCACCTGAGACAAATGGAAATTGCTCTGGATGGTGTGCTCAGTGGTTAGAGAAACATCAATGTGAGAGACGCACATCCATTGGTTGCCTCCCAACCCCCCACACACACACACACCAGGGCTAGGAGTCAAGCCTGCAACCCAGGGGTGCACCCTTGGCCAGGAATTGAGCCCGTGACCCTTTGGTGTGTGGGCCAACACTCTAACCGCTGAACACACTGGCGAAGGCTGTTTCCATTTTCTTAAGGTATTTTTTTCCTCTTTTGATTTCTTCATTAACCAGTGGTTCAGTAGCATGATGTTTAATTTCCATATATTTGTGAATTTTTCAGCTTTCTCATAATTGATTTCTAGTTCATACCATTGTGGTTAGAAAAGATGTTTAATAGGATTTCAATCTTCTTATATTGGACTGGTTTTGCGGCCTAACATATGGTAGGTCCTGGAAAATTTTCCATGTGCATTTGAGTTAAGTCTCTCTGATTGAACATGTTGTTAAGGTTGATTTTTTCTTACTGATTTTCTCTGGGTGATCTATTCATTGATGTATGTGGGGTATTAAAGTCTCCTATTATTATATTGTTTTCTATTTCTCCCTTTGGGTCTGTTATTATTTGCTTATATATTTAGGTGTTTCTATGTTGGGTGCATAAGTATTTACAAATATTATAAACTAGAGGCCCGGTGCACAAAAATTTGTGCACTGGGGCGGGGGCGGGGGTCGTCATCCTTCAGCCCAGCCTTCGCCCATTTGCAGTCCAGGACCTCTTGGGGGATGTCCACCTGTTGACTTAGGCCCACTCCCTGGGGGATCAGGCCTAAGCTTGCAGTCAGACATCCTTCTGGCAGCCAGGGAGCCCTCAGGGGATGTACGACTGAAGGCTTAGGCCCCCAAGGGATCGGGCCTAAACCGTTTGTTGGACATTCTTAGTGCTGCCACGGAGGTGGGAGAGGCTCCTGCCACCACCTCTGCGCTGGCCAGCCATGAGCCAGCTTCTGGCTGAGTGGCACTCCCCATATGGAAGTGCACTGACCACCAGGGGCAGCTTCTGCATTGAGCGTCTGCCCCCTGGTGGCCAGTGCGCATCATAGCAACCGGCCATTCTGCTGTTCAGTCAATTTGCATATTAGCCTTTTATTATTATTATATAGGATGTCCCTATTTCCCGCCTTTTGCCCCTCTACCCAGCTGTTGCCCCCCCACTTGTCTCTGGCAT